ATGGGCGTAGAGCGGTGTTGAACTTTGCGCACAAGCTGTTTGTGTTGAAGTAGGTGTTGGCTAGACTCGATAGTGGAAAGCTGCGTGTCCCTGACAGGAACCGGTACATCCGAACGTTGAGGACGGTTTCGTGAAAGACATCTAGATATAAGACTTTCAATCTTTGTTAAGATACCCAATTTGTGTTAGGGGATGGGTGCAGTGTACAGTTCAACTTAGTTGAGACGCTGTTTTCTTGTGCTCCAATAGGTGTCTGCTTCTGATATCCCTGCAAATTCCCATACAGGAAGCAGGGCAGCAGGAGCCAGAGGTGCAGCGCCTGCGAGACGGACACCGGGAGGGAGGCGCGGCGTGGTTGCGGACCGAGTTGGAGGCCAAGAGCACTTCCGACGTGCGGCGGCTGTGCGCTATGTTGGAAGTGCCGCAGCAGCGCGACGGCAGAACCCTTCGGAAGGAGCAGCTGCTGGAATCCAAAGTGGACAGCTTCTCATCGCAGGAGGGCTGGAGTAGGGGAACGGGCGCGGAGTCTTTAGTGCAACTTGGCGCGCAAGCTGTCTGCGTTGAAGTGGGTGTTGGCTAGACTTGATAGTGGAGAGCTGCTCTTCGCAGGAGGGGTTGTGTTCGGGGATGGGTGTCTGCTTTTGGTCTCCACGCAAAGTCCCTGACAGGAACCGGCACGCCCGAACGTTGAGGACGGTTGCGTGAAAGACATCTAGATATAAGACTTTCAATCTTTGTTAAGATACCCAATTTGCGGCGCATCCGAACGTTGAGGACGGTTTTGTGAAAGACATCTTGATATAAGACTTTCAATCTTTGTTCAGATAACCAATTTGTGTTAGGGGATGGGTGCAGTGTATTGTTCAACGTAGTTGAGACGCTGTTTTCTTGTGCTCCAATAGGTGTCTGCTTCTGATATCCCTGCAAATTCCGATACAGGAAGCAGGGCAGCAGGAGCCAGAGGTGCAGCGCCTGCGAGACGGACACCGGGAGGGAGGCGCGGCGTGGTTGCGGACCGAGTTGGAGGCCAAGAACTACACCCACTTGCGACGGCTGTGCGCTATGTTGGGGCTACCGCAGAGGCGCGACGGCGGAACCCTTCGGAAGGAGCAGCTGCTGGAATCCATAGTGGACTGCTTCTCATCGCAGGAGGGCTGGAGTGAGGGGATGGGCGTAGAGCGGTGTTGAACTTTGCACGCAAGCTGTTTGTGTTGAAGTAGGTGTTGGCTAGACTCGATAGTGGAAAGCTGCGCTTTGCAGGAAGGGTTGTGTGCGGGGATGGGTGTCTGCTTTTGGTCTCCACGCAAAGTCCCTGACAGGAAGCGGGACATCCGAACGCTCAGGACGGTTTTGTGATTTGCAGCTGTATAGTTCAACTTGGTTGAGATTCTGTTTTCTTGCGGTCCAATAGGTGTCTGCTTCTGATATCCCTGCAAGTTGAATGATACCCAAGTTGAATGTATCTGCGCAAGCGTCACGGCGGAGGAACCGGTGACGGCGGAGTCACTGCGACGCTTGGCGCAGGAGCTGGGAGACCAAGCGCCACCGACCCTCCGAGGTCGTCTGAGGGGTGTGCGTCTGAGGAACGCGGAGCCGTCCTTGGTGGATATAGCTTCGGAGTTGGGCCTACCTTGCGAGCATATGCATCGGAACAGGCTGGTGGATAGCATCGTTCTGTCGCTCTGTCCGCTGCGCGCGCCCGGGGCGGAAGATGATGTGAGGTATCACTTTTGGCGCTGGCTCGCAGATTGCCGGACCGTTCCTGCAGCAGACCTCGTAGCAAAGGCATCTGTCAGTTTTCCTGCGACACAGCTACGGCGATCTATGCTGAGTCTTTGCGAAGATGTTCCGTTGGAAAGTATTGAGAGGAGGCATGGAAGCGCGGCCGCGGAGCTGGAGCAATTGAGCCAGGCCACCGTTGCAGTCTTGCAACACCTTTCTGCTTTGAATGTTCAGTTTCCAGCTGAAGTGCCAGAGACTTGGACCACTGCGATGGAACAACTGCAAAGCATCAGATGGCCAGACCGTTTGTCTGGATTGCAGTGCAGTAGTTTGCTGGCTGTGTTGTTGGAGAATCGGCCGCTACAGCGCAGAGGCCGGGCGCGTGTGGACCGGAATTGTGTTGTGGGGTCTGATGTTTGTTTGGCTTTTGTTCGGTCGCAAACATATAGACTGTTTCCATCGAAAATATATTGGACGCAAGGTTGGTGGCAGTTGGTGGATTGCTGGGATCGCGCAGATCCAGTGGATGTAGCAGAGCGACTGTGGAGCCTGGCCACATGTCATCAAGCTGGACCAGCAGTGGAGCCAGACAGTGGCTTCCAGGATCGAGAAGATGTTTTGGAGGTGGGTCGGCAGAAAGCGTGGGACTTTTGCAAGGTTTATGTGGACGTTTGGTTCGGAGAAACAGTTTCTGATTTGATTGGTTGTTCGTTCGCTTGTTCTTTTTTCCCGTGTCTCTCTGTGCAGGCGGTCTTGGGCGCACTGAAGCACAAGCACAAGAGTCGTGGATATGACGAGGCAGACAAACTCTTGTTGCGCACTTTGATGCGGCGCTATGGCTGGGAAAGACATCTGGACGAGAGCGCAGCGTGCACGTGGATGGAAACCTTTGAAGCAGTCAAGAAGGCAGAGGATTGGTCTCGTTTTGCTTGGTTTCTGGTCGCGCACTTGTTGCACCCTGCTTGTCGTGAGAGTTTGCGTGCGTGGCACAATCCGGTGACCGTTTTGGAGTCGAGATTAGACCGCAGTGGTATTGCCCAGGAGGTGGTTACTTTGCACGATGACTTGTTGGCCTGGCAAGATCTCCACGGGTGTTCTTCGTTGCCCGAGAAGAAGCAGCACGCAGACTTGGCGAAGAGGGTGGGCAAGTATTTCAACAGCAGGGAGGCGCGTGTGAGGACCCTCCAGAAAGCTTATCCTGCAGACTTTGCGCCGCTGCCGGGTTACAGAGTTGAGTATTTGTCCTTGGAAGGCGATTCCCTGCGTGGTGTACTCTGGCGGTCTGCAGCTGAACGCGCTCTGATGTTTTCGATCCCTGGATGGAGAGAAGAGGGCAAGGGCAAGGAGGGGTTTCATCCTTTGCAGGATTTCTGTAAGCATTGGTTGCCAGAAGCAGACGAGATGGAGTGTCTTGATTTGTTGACCAACACACAGCGCCCTGTCACGTGGAAGCTCGAGCAAGTCGCGAGACGATTGGACTGTTCACCCACGTTTTCTGGTGTGCAAGAAGCCTTAGCCAAGCGCTTACTGCGATCTTTCCCTGAGGATGCAGGTGACTGCCTACAGAAATTCTGCTGTAGATTGTGTCCAACCGACTGCGCAGACGCAAAGTCCTTCAAAGAGCACGTCGCACAGGAGCACGCTGGCGTCGGGCTGCAAGATACTCCCCGGATGCTGATTGAGTATCGCAAGAAGATTCTCGCTCTTGTTGAGCACGCAGGACCTCTTGTGTCTCGGTCGATGTCTTGGACGTATTTTGGTGTTTCACGTTGTAACTTTTTCCTGACAACTCCTGTGTGGACGCCGTTCTGCGGAAGCGCAACAAGTACTAGACATAAACAATCTTTTCGACGCACAAAGGCCAGTCGCGAGCTGAAAAGCGAGAGTAGGCCGGTTTTTCTGTGAGACAGTCAAGTAGTCAATGACAAGCATAGGGCGTAGTGGTTGGTGAACTAAATCTCAGAAAAGCAGTGTCCTAGAGTGAAGGAAACGTTATCGCTGCTCGCATATCGATTGTCGCGTCGCCTTTGAGAAACTTGTTACATGTTATGAACACAAAACTGCTTCTTGTCATGTCAGGTGGGTGATTTATATGTCATAGTGTTGTATGGGAGGTGTTTTGTTGTTTCTGGCATTTTATGTGTGATACATATTTGGTGTGTCCGAACGTGGATGATCGCTGAGGTACCAGGTATGAGCAGACAGAGGACAATAGCTGCCAACTTTGATGAGCGCTTGCGTTGCCCTGCAGGCACGAGTGAGGAGGGCCGAGTGGAAGCTGCCTGTGTGGTGTGTGCTCGACGTTTTTGAGCGCATGAGTTGAACAAGGCGCTACTCTTCACCGATCCTGCCCAAGCAGAAGGGCTACCACAGCTCCCGGATGGAGTGGATGCAGCAGTCCGTCCATCTCAGCAGCATCGACTGTGCCGCCTGCTGGGAGTTCCACGCTATGCTGAGCGCTGGCCGCACATTGCTTTGGAGGAGTTGCAGAAGTCTGCCGTTGAACATCCTTTCCTCCCAGGTGAATATGTGCTCTTGCACCGGCGGCGCACGCCGGAAGACGCACGACAGCCGTCCCCTGTTTGCCGGGACTGCCGCGCCAAGCCTGACAGCCCAGGTTCTGACCTTGCCGCGCCACGCCCTGGCGAATGACCTGTGGCTTGGCAGAGCCTTGCCAGAGCTTCGTTCCCTCTCCGCGGGGACGAAGCGGCTCTTGCCCCTGGCGCGTGTGTGCATGCAGGTCACCGTCCTGCAGCCGGTGGTGCTTCCCCACGCCGAACGGCAGAAGGGCTTCATCGGGAACACCATCTTTTTGCCGCAAGCTAGTCCTTCCTCAGTCGAAGCAGTGTTGCCACCCCGCGCAGAGGACATGGCCGAGCACATCTTGTTCGTCTTGGTGGGCCACAACAGAGGCGACCTGCGATCGTCGGCCACGATGCAGGCACCTCGAGAGGAATACGTTGCCGCTGTCGAGCGCCTCCGACAAACTTCCAAGTACTACGCGGAGGCAGCGGTCGATCTCAGTCGATGGTCTGGCCAGGAGGAGACTATGTTTGAAGGCTGTGTCCTTGAGACGGACGCAGACAGCTATTTGGCGAGAGAGCTCTTACAACGGGGACCGGCGGACGCTCAAGGCCAAGAGAGCAGCCAGCAGGAGGAGGACGACGCTGGCATGGCGGAGGACACTGCGGAGTCCGGCGAGCGAGCACACGAAGACTCAGGACAGTTGCGTTTGGTCTGTGGGTTGGTAGGTCGTCGTCTCACATTTGAAACTACTGATTCTATATAGATAGACATATACAGATAGTGATCTCTCGTTGCTTGGCTAACTTCTTGGCACACTCCTGCTTGGTCAGGTCATCTGATTTCCAGCATAGTCGGCCTGAATGACACCTCGGACGATGAGAATCGTTGGTTGCGGGTTTGCCGAGATGTGGAGGATCTGTGTCGTCGAAAGCCTCGACAGTATGACACTGATGCAGAGCTGGTCGTGCGCAATCGGGCCAACAATGACCTGGGTGTGGGTGCTGCGCAGATGGAAGGAGCAAATCTACTGGGTCGAGAAGGCGCGCACGAACGTGGAGTCCTTCGTCGCATCCGCCAGGTCCAGACTGTGGCCGCGCATGGGGTGGAGACAGAGCGACAAGCGCAAGGGCAAATGTTTGAGGTCAGGCCACAGAAGTTGGTGGTGCCTTCTCGAGATACCCCTCTGAGCATGTTTGAGCCAGGGACCTGGGCAATGGCTTTTCCTACGTTGTTCCCTTGGGGTGACGGGGTGCCTTTCTTGAAGAGGGAGACGAGCGTGGAAGCTTCTGAAGTGTTTCGTTATTTGCTCCTACGCGAAGAGCTCCAGTACAGCGGTGAGGGAGGTGTTGAAGATGAGGTCCCTGCACTACCTCGATGGAGTTTGTCGGCCGCTCGGGACGACGAGTGGTTGCGTCATCTTTTTTTGGGACCAGATTTCTGGTTAATGTCTGTTGTGGCTGAGTTGTTTGTTGGTTCGGACATCGTATAGTTTTGGGGTCTGTGGCAGTTACTATCGTTTAGGAATAGATATTTATAAGTTTTTTTGGTCGCACCGACGCGTCGCTCACCCAAGGAGCAGTTGCTCCCGACGATGTATGATGTCCAACGTCGTTTGACGTTGATGCGGACCTCCAAGGCCTATGTCAAGAGGAGTGGCTTCGGCCGCCACTGCTCGGTCATAGCCTCCGTGACCTCCGAGCACCTCCTGAAGGCCATGGCGCTGCACGGGGAGAAAGCGGACATCCGCGAGTTGCTCCGCTCCCCGGACGTGGACGTGCCGCTCAAGCGCGCACTGGGTAGCGTCCTACAGGCCAGTTCCAACGTTTTGGGCACAGAAGGTCACCGATCTCAGATCCGTCTGCGAGGCCACGCAGCTGGGTGGCATTACGGCCCAAGTCACATTTTTGTGACACCGAACTTGGCGGACTCGCGAGCTTCTCTGCTCTTGCAATTGCATCTGCAGGGGGGCTCGCGAGTCGAGGCCTATGAGGTCGACCTGGCCTGGGACCTCGAGGCACCAGCACTGCCCTCGCTGAGCGCAATGCGTCGCATTCTAGCTGCCGACCCAGTCTCTCAAGCAAGGTTTTTTGACGTGATGATGACCTTGTTCTTTGAGGAGATATTGGGCACGTTGCCGCCGCTTACCCGCGCCAGCTTCCGAGGCGGTCTTGCCAGGGACTTCGAGGATGGTTTTGCTGCTTCCACTCACGCTGGTTGCTTTGGAGATGTGGCAGCCTTTTGTGGCCCTCTTGAGACGCAAGGACGCGGTTCCATGCGCCCACATATTCTGGTTGTGCTTTTGGGGCGCGACCTGGGCAATCGCCTTCGCTCTGTGTTGGCCACCGCAGCGCGTGGGGAACTGGTCATTGAGTTGGAACGCTGGAGTCGCGCCGTCCTACAAGCAGCCAGCCGTATTCGCTACGACAGCCAGCAAGCTCTCAGTCAGCAGTTAGAACAAGAAGTGTGTCCACTACCGCTGAGCGAAAATCAGCGTGCTGCATGTGGAAGGCAATACAGCGACGTGCCACTGAGGTCAACGGAGCCAGACGGCCACGAAGCGGCGACGGAGTCCAGTACACCTCTCCGACTGACCGGATGCTTCGCTTCACTACGTCCACATTATGTCAGGAGGAGCGAGGCCGCTGCTTTCAACGCGGCCAGTTGGTCGGGCGCCCTCTGTCGCGACTATCGTCGCCTCGTCATACAGAATCACTTCCACAAGTGCACGAAGTCTTGTTTCAAGAAGACCCTCGGCGGGTGCAGATTGTTTTTTTGTGCTAGACCTCGGACACTTTGTTCAGACGCTACGAACGGAATCACCACTGCAGTAACAGAACGAAATTTGGACGGGACACGAACCCGGCGCGGAGGACGTCGTTCTACGCAATCGGCGCAAGGTTCGAGTGTCGCCGTTTTCGTTTCACGACATCAGCATTGTAGCCTGGACGTGGTTATGCGGATCCGATGTCGTTAGTATTAGTTCGGTGTCGGACAGGGATAATAGTTTTGTTTTTGATATGCACCGGTCACCGAGCACGTTATCTGCACCGGTCACCGAGCATGTTATCTCTGAACTTAAGAGTTGTGTGTGACACGGCCATGCAACGTTGACTCAGGAACGCTGCGAAAGGCAAGCGGGGATGTCGATTTGGCTGCTTCCACGTCGAACTACACAAAGAAACTGAAGACTCTGGACTGGAGAAGGTACGCGCGCGTTGTTTGAAGGGATGGCCTCGAGTTCAGCGCGCGCAGTTTATGATTCTACCACGTGAAAATGTTCCATTGGAGGAAGAGGAGGCCATGAAGAATGAGAACCCCCATGTCTTTCAACCTCAACGGGACCATCCCTTCGAAGGCATGTCGAATCCCATAGCTCAAGTCAGCATGCGGTGCAACGTCGACGTGAAATACTTGGGACGTGGTTTTTTGCGATGCCGATTTGCAGAAACTGGCTGCCAATGAAGAGGATGGAGACGGACAGGGCGGAGACGCACAGCCACCAGACGGGGAGCGCAAAAAGAAGGACAAGAGCTTGGACGCGCGGTTGCACAGAGTTGTTGTGGATATGTTTCGGGACATGCAGGATGTGCAATTTTATACTGGGGAGTACGCGAGCAAGAAGTTCGAAGTGTCTCGATCTCTGCTACCGGAACTCTTTGCCGGCGTTCAGCGTCTTGAAGCTGAAGAGGCACAGCGTCAGGCAGCTGTGTCAGATGCAGGACGTTAGTTGACTGTTGGATTGTTTTGTCCCTTGGCAACACAGTTCCAAGGAAAAAGTAGAAGTTGTCTAAGCGAATTTACCGCCGTGCTTTTTTTGGAGTCTAGGAATATTAATACCGGCGGTCAGGAGACATGCCGAGCGGCCATGACGCCGCAGTGGCGGAGGCGGCACCGGTGCCCGAGGCTGCGCCGTTGCCTGCAGAAGTGGCCAGGTTGCGTGCTTTGAGTTTATTGCGACGTCTTGCTTTTGGCATGCAGAGATGTGTTGCGAAGTCCAATGGGGAGATGGCCTACCAACTTTTGTTTCAGCAGGAGCAACTGGTCAGCTACAGTGGCTACAACGTGTTCTTTCGGTTTGTGCCCTATGCCATGTTTCGTTGTCGCGCAGTGGCCTTGGACGCAGCCGCCGCCAGCGCGCCTCATTTGAAAGTTCTGCCCCTGGAGCCTGTGGAGGCTGAAGAGACTGACGCAATCCCTGTGCAAGAGGTTGCTGAGGTATTCGACGAGGAAGATTTGACGGAAAGTAGGATCCCGACAGGTGGCACGAGGGTTGTGTCGCACAATCAGAAGGATGATTACTTGCATCGTGGTGCTTCAGCCGTTATGACGTCTATGTCTTTGGTTATGTATTCTCGTTATGTGCGACGAGTTCCTCGTAGCCACGCTGGTCGCGTTGATTACGTCAAATTTTTTCCCTTTGATGAACACTATGCACATTTCCAATTGTCAGTGCAGGACTGTTGCTTCTGTCTTTTTCTTTTTTTGGTTGCTGACGTGTTTTGTTGTTTCATGTTCAAAAACTGCGTTGATTGTGTTTCATGTTCAAAAACTGTGTCGATGGCGTGAAAATATTCCCTTTTCCCTTTCACGAACACTACGCACATTGTCCCTTGTCAGTGCAGGATTGTTGCTTCTGTTTTTTTCCTTGTTCGTTGCTGACGCGTTTAGGTGCTTCATTATTGACAAACATAATTCATATATAGTTGGGCTGTGGTCGCTTTCCTGTGGATCTATTTCTGCGCACGGATCCATCGCTCGGACATCTGCGCGCCCTGTGACAGGAGTTGCGAACAGCAGACGACAATGTTGTGGTGCCTGTGGATTTGCGCCTTCCGGGGCAGAATGAACCTGAGAAATACGCTGCGTTTATGCTGGGTTTGTCGTTGCCCTTTCCACGTTGCCCGGGTGCACAGCATTGTGGAGAAGCTTGGCAATGTTTTCATTGTCATGAGATTGAAAAGTTGGAAGGGAAAGGTTTCCTGCGAGCCTGTTTCTCCAAGACCTGGAAACAATGGAAAGCTTGCATGCAGGTGCGCAAGGTGAATGCGCAGGAACGACTCTTGGCTGGCTTGAGTTTACCTTTTCTGCGTGACGTGGTGGGCTTACGCGAGTGGTGCGATGTGTCTTGTCTCGACGAGATGCTTCTGGATGGAGCAGACCCTGAGATCTCCGAAGAGATGCCTGCGCAGGAGCCCGCAGGAGAAGATGCAGAGGACCAGGGAATTCTGTTTCCGAGCACCTCCACACCTTCGCCTCTGTCGAGTACCTATCATTTGATGTGGTGTCTCGGGAAGGTTTTCAAGGGCAAGCATGGTCGCTACGTGGACCTACCTCGGATACACGAAAGGATTTGTTGGTCTTTGGGAATCCCTTGTGGTTTTCACTACACACAGTTGACTCCGCTGGAGCACATGTCTCATGCGCAGCTGCAGTGGTTGGAGAGGTTCCGCCTGCACCGCGAAGCACGACAGCTCAGCAGCAGCCAGAGGAGAGCCGAGCGCTTTGCTTACATGACCAAGGAAGAGGAGGGCGAAGACGTGGAGGAGTACTGGATACAGCACATGCTTTTTTAGGGGGGGCCAAGTCGTGGTAAAGTGTTTCTGTGTATGTAGCGTAGTTGTTTGACAAGCATCACTGGCAAGTGTCCAGCTGGATACAGCACATGCTTTTTTTGGGGGGGGGGGCCAAGTCGTGGTAAAGTGTTTCTGTGTGTGTAACAATGTAGCGTAGTTGTTTGATTTTTTGGGGGGGCCAAGTCGTGGTAACGTGTTTCTGTGTATGTAACAATGTAGCGTAGTTGTTTGACAAGCAGCACTGGCAAGTGTCCATGTGCGCGGAGGACGATGTCGGTCCCGTGGACATAGAAGGATCTGATGTGGAGAACGATCTCGAGCACGAAGATGCGATAGAGCGCATGGATTGCGCCGAACATCCTGTGAGCCGAGAAGCTTTGAAAGAAGTACTCTTTCGTGAGAAAGACTGGAAGCGTTGCCTGGCGGGACGCGACAACCGCACGAAGTTTGCTCTGAGCAGATTGAAGCAAGTGGTTGAGGCCATGGGTGGCTTGCCCAATGTGACTGTCAACGTTGAAGGCGAGCGTCCTCTGGATGGTGCTCTTCGTCGCGCATGGGCCTATGCTGAAGCACAAGACATGTTTGACCGGCAATCCCAGTACCTGGAGAATCTGTCTGGAGGCCTTCTGCGTCAGATAGACAGTATTTTTGTTGAGAGCTTCTGCACTGTGCGACACGAGCTTGAGAGATATAATTTTGTTCTGTGAATTCGGTGTCGTTAGTCTCGCGCGTGAGAGTCGGAGAAAATATTTTGTCTTGTTATCACGATAGTGCCCGGAGACGGAGGATATAGTTGGACTCAGCATTTTTTTTGCAGCTACTCGTCGTTTAGTTTTTTACAGACATTGATCCATACGCCAGGTGTTCCAGATGATGCTGAGGAGGAGTTTGCCCCGAGTGGCCTGGAAGCGATGACTGCGACGGATCCGTTCTTGATGGATCTGAACGCGCAGAATCTGCGACCGAGGGACTATGCCTTGAAGCTGGTGGAGGACCAATGCTGGTGGAAAATCATGGGGTGGATCGAACGACTGGTGTCCTTAAGTAGATGTTTCTGGGAGAGTTTATTGCATAGAGGTTTCTTGTTCAATGGGACCAGATTCTAATGGGACCGTGTGAAAGTTCTGAGAAAGTCGCAAGTGTTCCGAACACGCGACAGGAGTGCACGCTCAACGCACAGCAGATTCGCGCTGTGGCTCCCATTGTTTGCACGATCGATGATATGTGGGAGAAGCGCACCGAAGCAAGCACCTGCTTCGCCAATGGCCAGCCCAGTGAGCGGTGCAACTGTCTATGGCTTGGCGCGGGGGGCTCGGGCAAAACGTGGGCATACACCAAAGTCTTGCGGCCTTTGTTCCAGCGCTTCTTTGGCTTTGGTCGCTACACTGCCGGGGCACCGACCCACGCGGCCGCGCGGTTGTTGGGGGCAGAAGCTAGAACTCTGCACAAACTGGCGAACATTTCCCCCAACTCCGCACTACACCGCGGCGCCATCCGAGGGCAGCGGAACAAAAATGATGCCCTGGAGCAACAGATTCTGGCGTCATTGGCCTGCATCGTCGATGAGCTGTCGATGAGCGCAGCGGATGTATATCATGCTCTTGGCCTGCGCTTCTCGGTGAAGCGCTGTGAGAACTGGGCGCTGGACCTGAGCCGCTATCTGCAGGAGTGGTTCGGCAAGATGCCGATAGGGCTACAATTCGGCGACTTCCTACAGTTGCGCCCTGCCGCCCAAGCGAGCCTCTGCGAATGGGTGGAAGTTCCGTCAGCGGTAGAACCAGCGCCGCTGACGGAACTTCAAGAAGCCGAAGCCCCAGAGCAGGCCAGCAACGCAGCCGAGCTGGGGCGGCTCTTGTTCAAGAACTCCATGGGCATTGTGGTGCACTTCACTGGAACTGGGCGTTTCTCTTCTTGTGCTTCCGGCCAAGCTTTGGTGGCCATTTTGCAGCACATGCGGCAAGGCACCGCCATGACGGACGCACTCTGGGCGCAACTCCAGAGTCGCGTCTACGAGGTCCAGCAACTGCAAGACCTCCAGACCGCACCTTCGCGCCGGGCGTTCTTGCGGGCCTACTGGGGTGCACTTGCCTGGGAGCAGGTTGCTCGGTTGCAACAGTTGCGAGCAGTGCTCGAGGCGGAAGACGCTGGAGAACGGCTGTACTTCGTGCAAGCCATCGACAAGCCCACCGGCGACGCCACGCTGTCTTCCGCCCAGGTCAGCGCAGCTCTGCAGTGTTTGAACATGACCAAGACTGGCTATTTGATTGGCATGTGTCCGTTGTTTCTTGGGATTTGGGATGGAAGTGCGCATTTCGTGCATCTTGCCGGAGCCCTTGCTGACGCGCGAGCTCCCGTGCATAGTGCGACGCATAGAACTACATCCCAAAGAACCTCCGACGCCACCTGGAGCAGCTTGCGTGGTCCTGCAGTACCAGCCGCTTGGAGTCTTGGTGGAGGTCGCAGACAGTGATTATGGTCAGTTTCAGGTCCCTGGCGACGACGTACCCAAGGGTCATTTCTACGTGAGGCCTGTGTTCAACAAGCAATCGGCCTGGGTCTTTGAGGTTGCGCCCAAGCAGAAACTTCGACTTGTTCGGAAACAGGCTTGGGACGCACTAACTTGTTTTGGGCTCTCTGGTATACATCGTATCGTCGTCGTGTCGGTCTGTCTTTCTCGTTTAGTTTCCTTTATGCGCAGGTACCCTTGGCCCCACAGCGAGTGCTGACTCATTTTGGACTGCAAGGCATCACTGCCAGATCTGGCCTGGTCGCTTTTCTGAATCAACCTCCCTGGATGAAGGATGGAGATTACGGTTTGGCCCTCCATGTCATGTTGTCGCGAGCAACGAAGTTGAGCGATTTATGGCTCATTGGAGTGCCTGAGCGCCCATATTTCGAAGGCTTCTTGCATGAGCACAACAAGACTTTGGTGGATCGTATGAGCCTGTTTGAACGTCTGTCTGCGCAGAATGAGCAAGCTGCGGAAAAGTACATCCAGAAGCTGCTTTGGAGGGGAAATGCTTACGTGAACCGCACACTTGGTGGTTTGGTGGAGAGATGTCGTGACCTCCTCGCTCTGGCGCTGGGCATTTCATTTCTTGCCCTGTTCGAGCAAGTGCGGCATCAGAGACCCTTGGCCACATTGGAGGAAGAGCATCAGGCTTCGATCCAATCCAAGTTGGTTCAAAGTGTCCTCCTGGCGGAATATCAAGCGTCCAAGCATCTGAATCAGGTCGCCTTCTCTGCTGTCGGAGGTAATCGCAAATGAGGTCGAGTTCCTTTTTCGCTGCTCCCGGCCATTTTTGTGGAGACCGGTGGATGATGTCTCGTGCCGTGGCCTCTTGAATCCTTCTTGGCAGGCAATCAACAAGTCCTGGAAGGATTGATCGTCTTCCATTTGATGGAGGTCCATTTTGCGCGAATGTATCAAGCTGGCAAGATTCGTTTTGGGCCAGGATCCCTGCAATGTGGCAAAATACATATTTGATTGAAGCATGCTGGTCAGTTGAATGTTCATGAATTGGAGCTTCATGCCATTGTTGTTGCGGGATGCAATCGGTGTCCAAGGTCCAGGCCCATGCTTGAATAATGACCAAGGGCTTGAATAATTGCGAAAACCTGATCAGTCACGAAGTTGGTGTGAGGCAGTTCAGGGAAGTGCGAAATCCAATCGGTCGTGCATCGAAACCAGGCCCCACAATGCAGCGGTGTCCAGAGTGGTGCATACAATATCGGGAACCAAAGACTCACAAGGTCTAGGGTCGGACTTGGCTCTGGATCAAACTCGCGGCCTGCCTGGCTGAGATCGAAGTACCTGTGCAGCAGGGCAGGTAGGGTGTGAGCAATCCTTGGCTTCATGGGCACTTGCACGGCCATGGTCATGGTGCCGAAGTGTTGAGCTTTGGCCCATTGACATGTCAAGACCGGACATGATCCTCTCTTGAAGTGTATGATCAAAGCTTGCTCCATGGTGAAGGTGCTATAGCAATGACGACATGTCAAACTACCCGGAAGCATGTCCTGATTAGGAACAAACGGAAAAGCACCGACGTGTGTGGCTGGGTGTTCACGGCGCAAGTATCCAACCAGGGCCTTACGACCAACAGTGTCAAGGCATAAGGGGCACTCAAACTGCCTGGGTGCCTCTGGGATCGATCCGGAGGTCGGAAGGCTAAGCATCTGTTGGATCGTTCTGGATGTCTTCAGCTTCTTGGGTACCTGGGCTTGTGAAGCATGGTCAGTGTCAATCACAGCGGGATCGTGACATTCATGCGTGTGCTGGTGAAGACCTGTGGCCGACAGAAATGCCATGTGACAGTGAGTACACTTGTGCAAATTGGAAAGACCTCTTGGCTCAGGCTTGGAGCTTTGAGCAGATGCCTGGATTGCTGCACTTTGGATCTCCCTCGGTTGATCATCCTGACGCTCGATGGACATGGCCGGCTGTGACGTCGGACGATCATCATCTGGTATGTCAGTCGGCAGTGCTCGAATCATGATGGGCATGACTGGGAAGTGGGAAATATCATAGGTCTGGCCTAGCAAGACACTGAGCTGAAACAACACCCCACACTGATGGCGTTATACGTTGTTGCAAGTCTGTTCACAAAGCATGCACTGATCTTTGCCGGATACTAGTTGAGCCAGACCATACACCTGGTCCCGGTGAAGGAGCCAAATACATAGCCACTAATCTCAGAGCTCGGGAAGTAGCAGTTAGCCAACAGCAAACCATCCTTTGGGCGATCGCCGCCGACACCCCTCTTTTCCACTTGGACACCGATGCACCGGCTGAGTTGCAAGCTCGGAGAAGCAACTGGCTGCAGCGGCACGACCAAGCCACCGGTGGGATTGTCGGAATCTTGCCCTTGTTGCCTAACATGCCTATACGTATCACCCAAACCTTACCAGAACTAAAACCGTTTGGACTCTTCAAAAATACCCGTGGCACCCTATATAGTTGGACCTTGCGCGAACTTGACGTTGCACGACTCTCCCGCACGCCCGGCGCAGAACTGGTCCTCGAAAAACTACCCTTGGCGCTCTACGTGCAGATTCCAGGTGCGACATGGCAACTACACCCAACCCTGCCACCGGGCGTCGCATGCATCAAACCCACGGTCCAGCAGTGGACCCTTCAGCCAGGAGGTCGTGCTACCGTCGCCCGCAGAGGGTTTCCAGTGGCATCCGACTATTCCGGAACAGCGCATTCCTTCATGGGTGCCACGTTGGAAGCGTGCACCCTGGACTTAGGTTTTTGGGACACCGCCCCGTCACGGGATGCGCAACTCAGCGCATACATGTGCCCCGTGAATGAATGGTTGCGCCGCAAATTTCGCGGACTTTGGATCCCGACCTAGCAGGCACCTGCGTCCTCTTTCGATTCGGCACTGGGGACATTCTTGTTCTAAGCGAGCTTCTCAGGGTGAATGTGGAGCTGTTGCCCATGCAAGGGGGAGGGTCTGGCAGGCATCCGTGCCGCAGAGGCAAGACTTGGTGTCGAAGTCCCATGCACCTGGGTGCCGGGTTGGAAACCCATGGAGAAAGCACCAAACATCCTGCGACATGGAACCGTGGCGTGCTTGTTTCAAGACTAAGCTTAGCCAGGGGTCCACGCAACGTTGCTCGGTGGTCAACTCGAAGAGTGCGTGGATACCGGATTCAGTCCGTGACCACAAAACCTTTTGGAGCCCGGCCACCTGGCAGGAAGCGCCCCCGGCGAAGGGGTTTTGGAAAATGGCGGTGGCTTTCACGGGTGGGAACTGCCAGAGATCGCCTGTCAGGATGAGGTTGAGGCCGCCGAATGGTCGCGCCTCGCCCCTGCCATTGTTCTTCCAAGTGCCTTTTGTGCGGGTGGCTTGGGCGACCTTTTTTTCGAGGGTGGCTAGGACTTCGAGGCCGACTGTGGAAATTTCGTCTAGCACGAGCCAACGCAACCGTTGGTATTGGACGAATTGGTCGGGCCCTCGCTCTCGTTCGCCGCCTCGGCCTTTGGCTTTGATGCGGATGTTCGCGAACGCATGCAGCGTCATGCCTTGAATTAGCGCGGCCTGGGTATTTTGAGGGGCTAGATAGACGAATTCCGTCTGGCGGCGCCACCCGCAAAGCTCTTCAAAGAAGCGTCGGAGCCACTTCAACGTTTGACTTTTTCCTGCGCCGGGGACTCCATGGCAAATCCCTCTCCATGGTTCGCTCTTGCCTATCCGCTGGGTCTGTTCCTCGGTGGTTTCTGTTAGGCAGCGGTTTATGATGGCTTGCAGGAACTGGCTCTGTTCGGGCGTGGGCACGGGCCCTGTCTCCGCCTGCTGCAAACTGCGGAGCCAGTCGGCCGCTGCTGTCTCGTTCAAATTCCCATAGATCCATCGCACGGCGGGCGGCCGCTCCGCCGCAGCTGCGCGACGCGCTGCTTTGCAGTGTCGGCGGGTGGGAGTTCGGGTATGCCAGGGCTCACTTGCCAAGGAATCTGCTGAGCTGGTGTCTGAGCCCCCCAGGTTGCCAGAATTTGTTGCACAGCGGGATTGCTCCGTTTGGAGTACTCGAAACCAATGCCTTGGGTTAACTTTTGGACCGTGGCCACATCGACCCAAGACGTGTCAACTTCCGGGTGGGGATGGTCTACGGGGGCTTCTACTGGGTCCGTTTCTTCTGGGGAGCACTCGGCCGCGGCCAAAAAATTTTGGATCGTTCGTTTTGCATGGTGCGACACGATGTGGGAGCGAATGTATTCTCTCCATGAGGTCTGATGGTTTCGCACACCGGGAGAAATTTTAGTGTGGAAACGGTGGGTGGGCCTATTGGCGGTTCGAGCTTCAAAGGACAGATCCAAAGCTGTTATGCGTGGCACATGCAAGCTCACGGCATTGGCGTCCAAAGTCCAAGGGCGGAGATACACATTCAGTAGCCGTGCCTGGTCCTCCTTCGACATGTCCGGACGAGGCAGTGGGCAGACCGTTGGATAGGGAACTAAGGCCTCGGAATGTCGTTCTAGATAGTACCCTGCTGCAGCTGCGAGCAATGGTTGTTCTGGCAGCCGCAGGATCGTTTCTGCTCGAGAAGTCGGTAGTTTTTCTTTCCAGCAGTAGTCGCGTCCAAACTGCCACCCATCTTCGGGTATGGATGTGGGGTCATGGTCTGGCATCCACTCGCTTAAGCACTCAGCGGGGACAGGCCCTTCGTTGGGTGGCGGCCGCAGTTTTTTCAAGGTCCACCATTTTACAAATTCCCAGGGTGACAGATAATACACACGGGTATCTTGTCCACGCCAGCCGTAAACTTCCGACAGCTTAATCTCAGTGGTAGCGAATTTCGTTGCGTCCGTCTAGGTAGGTCAGCCACTCTGCGCCGACGAACGGCGCGACCGGGAAAGAGCGGATACACTCTGCTGCTGTGGGATCTTGGCCGTCACCGAAACCGGCTAACATGAACTCTTCGGTGATTGGTCGGACGGAACATCGAAATTCGAGGTCGCCAAACACGCGACTGGCCACCTTGCGATAGTGGGCCCCGGTCGGATCTTTGCCAGCGTTGGTGTGGAGGAAATGCAGTTGCTTGGCGGCTTGCTGGAGTTCTTTCCGTCCGACTGGTTGTGGCTTTTGCAGGTACCCCGTAAAGTAGCGGGTGGCTCGTCGTGCCGCCTGCTGCATCAACCGTTGCAGCTTTCCCGCAGTAGCCTGCTGGAGGCAGTTCCGTTGACACTCGGGGTCATGCGTCGCCGGACAAAGTGGCACCCGATAGTTCACGGCGGTGTGGGAGTTTCCGAAAAGCCACACGGAAAAGGCGGTCATGGTCCCAGACAACCAGGCGTCCTCTCGAGCCCCCAACCATAACCCCAAGGCATTGCGACGCCCCTTTGTGCTTACTTGAAAGCGGCGAGCGTTCCCCCGGCAGATCACGCGGGATAGCACGTTAGTCTTCTTTGGGAAACCATGCTTACATTTGTTAGGGGATCCTTTTTTTTTGCATCCGGCTAGAGGGGCCCGAGCTTTGAGGGAGGGGTTCCATGGATGCCAGTGACATTGCTGGGCGGAAAATCTTGCTTGAGCTGCTTTCTTGTAAGCGTGGATGAAACATCGGGCTTCCTGCGTCACTACTTCGGGCGAGCGAGTCTCTAGCCAAGGACTTTCGGCAGTTGAGGTTCGAAGGAAACCTGGCCACTGGCCTAAAAGATTGTGAGTAGCTTTGCTGAAGTTGTCTTGCCATTCTCTTTCGAAGTAGGATGCTTGCTCCACGTGGTCGACTGGATGGGGATGCTGTTCGGTGTGAATCCATTCGTGGAAGTGCTGCAACGCTCCAAAGTCGATGTGCTTGTCTTTGATTTTTTGGAGCAGGCAGCTCAATGGTTCCTGCCAAATGCTTTCTGCATACACATTACAATGGAAATGGGGTGTTGCATTAGCCTGATACTCGATGGCGCCACAAATGGCGCGGACGAACCCCAAAACCCCACCAGTGGGATGCGTGCTGTAACCTTGTGGATCTCGACAATCACAACTTGGGCAACGAAAGCACATTCGGATGCCGAGCAGCTGCGCAAAAATGAAACGCACCATGGTTTGGAAACTCAGGACTACAGCCCAAGGATCTCGAGCCGTAATTTCTCGACGGATGTCGTATCCTGGGATTTCGATCTCAGTACCATGGCTTTCCCACACGGGTGGATTGAAGCTTTCCGGACAGGTGCTGCGGCCCGGGTCCGCTGTGCGATAGCGCGACAGTTTCAGGGATAGTGCATTGCGCCTCATAGTTGGCGAGATGGTGATGAACAAAGGTTCTCCAAATTCGACCCTTGCTCCGAACAAGTACCTACCAATGCGACGTCGCACTTCAATCGTTCCAGGCATCGTGCGCTGCATGGATCGCACATCTTGCAACAGTTGGTTTTCGGGTCCGGTCAGGCCCTTAGCAAAGAATAATTTGCGTGTGTCGTACTGAATTGGTCGTTCACGACCGTCTGCGGACACATACTTTCCGCGTCGCAATTTTTGGTACAGTCCTTCGGCTGCACGCACCCATTCGGAGACTGGCACGGGTTCGATCTGTTTGCGATGGGAGTTCCATCTTCGCCAGAGAGCGCCCCCGCACACAGCAGCCCACTTTGAAGTGACGCGACGGAGACCGGGTACTAGATCCCATGAGTTGCGAATGGAGCTCTCCACTCGACCGGTAATGTGTTTAAGGTGTTGCATGGGCCCTAAGACAGGTGCGTCTGCAACCCGGCGAAACTTGGGTTTCTGTGGGTAGTCTGGTCCGCTTGCGGGGGCGGGCAAACTGAACGGAAAGGCCCAGTGAAGAAAATCGGTGCGCCATTGGTCCCAAAAGTCTGTGCCAGTTTGGACCCCCAACTCATGGGTGGTGGTGGCGAGGTTGTTGACAAGGGCAACCTCTGGATCCACTACGTCTGCGCTAGCATAATCTGCACTCAACACAGAGGGTCTCATTTTACCACTAAAGGCTTCTCCCTCTAAGTTGCAACTTATGTTGAGCTCGGGTGTGGCATGCTTGGATGGTAATTGGGATGCAAAAGGTGCTTCTGGGCGGACCGCAGTCAGGGGCTCTGCGTGGGCCCTCTTTCGCGCACTTGAGCGACGCTCTGTGGCGGAGAGCGTGACGGCGACACCTGGGGCCGAACGACGCTCTGCTACGGGTACAGTCACCTCAGTCTCTGTAGCTCTGGGCGGATCTGTGCTAGAATTCGTGCGATTCAAAGTGGCTGGGTCGAGCAATGGACAGGTTTCATGTTTTCCATACACGGTTTCCACTCTCTCTGCAATCCGCACTTTTTCTTGGTCGGGGCTGTCTCTGTTTTCACACATGGGGTGCCCCAAGTCCACCAGGTGTTGCAAGAGAGCGATAACTACCCAAGGTCGAATTTTAGCTCCCGATACCCACTCCAGTGCTTCATTGTATCGCATGCCCTTAACCGTAATCTTCACAAGTGCTTGCAGTGTAGCAGGCGAATGTGGCAAGGACTCCCACGTCCGATGGCCCTGATGGGTTGGGTTCAAGGTCGCCATGATGTCTTCCCACGGCATGCTGAAGGAACTGACGTTGCCTCGGATGGCTATGCGGTGCTCTGCCTTGTGGATGTCTTCTTCCAACAAGTGTCCCCGGTCTTGTTCAAGGTAGAAGCACACGACTGAGGTCCACACGGGACAGGCGGCCGCAGCCTCGACCCAGCGAACCCGATGCCGATACAACAGCTCTGTCGGGTACCCCAGCCAGTTGTCGTTCATCAACGCCTGTGGCACGCCAGG